CACACACACACACACACACACACACACACATTCAACCACCTGATGAGTCGGTGAAAGTCCCAAGAACCAGGCTGCCGCAGTCGTGCTTTTTTTTAGTTTATATACTATATAGTGAATACGACAACACACACACACACACACACAGACACAAACACCCAACTTTGCCTTGTAGAGTGGAGTCATCTGCTACCTCCCGAACACAATGCACCCTGATTGTGGCTGCATGGGACCGCAAAGATAGCTTGCGTTACGTTCGGTGGAAAATGGAAGTGCAAAACCTAAATTTTGGGGAGGCTCGTAGCATAAGGGAGGAAAAAAACGCAGGAACATATAATGGGACCCCACCCGCCTCCTTTCCACAATCTCCCTACCGCATTCCAACTCCCTCAGTCCTACCTTAGTGTCTACCACTCAGGACAGCACTGCTTTAAAAAAAAAAAAAAAAAACAATCACCCATGCACCCTCTCTATGTGGGATGAGCCGACCGGACTGCGGTCACAGGCACCAGCATGCGATATCCCAGTCTGCCCGCCTCGGTTCGAATGAGAGTGTTGTCAAGCACCCTCCAACAACAAAAAAAAAAAACAGAAAAACGAACGAACTGCCCTCCAACCAGGGTGGTGCTATTACCACCCTCTCAGTAGTTGGCCAGCATGCAACAGGGTAGAAAGAACAGAAAAAAGAATCATCCCTGTTGCATGCTGTTAGAAAGAACAGAAAAAAGAACCATCCATGTTGCATGCTTACTTACTTGAGGCGCTACGCATGTAGACTATTCTGCCTTGAGCGACTTGACATTTCCCCTGGTGGGGTTTGTTTTTCAACGCTACCCCACCCAAAACAGTCACAAAGATTATCTAGTCGAGCAAAAACTCATACAGTGATTAGGCCGTTGAAAGTAGCTTCTAAGACGGAGCCTACGACCGGACTTGAACCTGAGGCCCGTAAGACGAGTACACCCCCCTACCACAAGCTTTATGTTCATCTCATTATGTTGTCCTCGTTGATGTTACTCAGCTGTGTACTCTGCTAACTTGTTCACTCAATGGAGTAATCCTCTTTGGAGTACAACCAACCCCCCCCCCCCCTTATTACTCAGATGTGTATTCCAATAATTATATATACAATTCGGGATGCTCTTTGTTTTTTTTTGTTTCTTTTGCTCTCCTCATCCGTGAAATCATGGTCTTGACCAATGACGTTTTACTTCAGCAAAAAGAGGAGCAAAAAAAAAAAATGGCTTTACGAATTTCCGATTCCTTTTTTTCTCTTTTTTTTTAAACCAATGAATGAAAAATGTACACGTTCAGAGTAAGGCAGTCGGCATTTCAGCTCAAGAGTGCAGGTACCAACCCGCCTCACCTCAGGGTTAACAGCCTAGAGTATCCCGCACCGGGAGACCTTTACGGTACCCAGTCGCACAGGCATCATCCTTGGTCCCCCTGAGGTGCTGCCAGCAGCTCTTCCGTTCTCATCAAGTACTGCCTACCCCCAACGGGTACAATTTATTAGGCCATCCCCCCAAGGGGTGCCTGACCCTAGTAGGCGAACACACACTGTAGCCCAGCTGCTGGGTCACAGACAGCAGGCACATATCTAATCCCAGCCAGCCACAGGAACCCAGCTGCTCGGCCGTAGAGGCTCCAGACAGGATCATAGACTCTGCTTGAACCAATCCATGCACCTGCCTGACCAGCTCATACGGCAAACTGAACAATCCATGTACCTCTCTCTCTCTCTCTCCTCCCTTCCCCCCCCCCCCCCCCCCCCCCCCCCTTCTCTCTGCGTGTGTGTGTGTGTGTGTGTGTGTGTGTGTGAGGACATATTATCCCTAACCTCATAAGGGACACAGGGTGGTTGCTGAGCCTAACGGATGTTTCACCCACTGCTACCTCCCTCATCACTCTAGTATATATAAGGGATGCAAGGTGGTTGTTCAGCCTAATGGACCAGTGGGGACCACCAAAGGCTGTGGGGCCCAATAGGCCAGACCCCACAGCAATTTGGAAGGCTTTTTCTTTTCTTTTGTCCCTCAGATCCCTGTAAAGTGCAGTTCGACAATTGAGCCTTAAGAAGCAGTTCCGCTTAACTGATGTAAAAGTCCGCTCATAGGCTCCGTCTTAGAAGCTACTTTCATCATAAAAACCTCTTTAGATGACTCACGAGTCCTTACACAGGGTCCCCAAAGCCTTGACCTCCTTACAATGGCCCTCAAGATCTGCCATCCATCACCTTCACTACTGCAAACGTTCTGCAATTGACGAGATTAAAAGGCAAGGAACTGTATCGAGCAGCACAGAGACTTTTGCTCCTCTCTCTTTGGTCTACGACTCAGATTCTGCATCCACACTTCAGGGGACCTCCTAAATAAAACGTGGCAACAGAATTGTGTTTTTTCTTTTTTTCTTTTTTTCCTGCCGGTCTTGCATGACATACTACTCACAAAGACTTCAGCATCAGCATATTCACAAAACAATCGTTCATACGACCTGTCCTCTCTCTCTCTCTCTCTCTCTCACACACACACACACACACACACGCAAGAAACTTGTAAAGGAATAATTGAATTTAATGCACTGCTGAGACCGTGCTTGCGATGTACACACTGCAACTACAAGGCCCTCTTGTCGCCAACTTTACCTTAAACCATTTGCATAAAAAAGTCAGAAAAACAGGACATCTTAGGAATAGAAAAAAGGGGAGAAAACGAAGAACGTACGTTGAGAGCAATTCACAAGCAGCTATGACAAGCAGGCGTAGACTCGCCAACTCACTTCATCAATCAGTCACGACTCGCAAAATGATAAATGTTTGCAACAAAAAAAATTACCTTTATTTCGTGGACGGGGTGCGGTGCGGGCAGAGAAAAATCAAGAGCATTACATTCTCCTGCCCTACGAAAAACCAAGCCTATGACATTGAACAAGAAGAAGAAATGTCACAGCAGCCCATTTTGCCTTCACTTTCCCCCCTCCTCCTTACCCTACTACCACAACAGCAAATCATATGTCAGCATCACACATACAAAAGATAAAAATCAGATCAATTATATACCTCGCAAGGGAGGCATTCATCAAGCTAGGTCACACTCCGCTGAGCCCACGACAGGACTCGCCTATGGGCTCCCCCACTTCCCTTTGTGATGCTCGACCTAGTCAGGTCCGTAACCACTCCACCTGGTCGGGCGAATACCCACCCGACCTGGTCGCATCCATAAGCACTCAACCTGGCCAGGTCCATAACCACTCGACCTGGGCCGGGCCACAAGCACTCTACCTGATCCAGCCCATAACAATTCCCACGTTGACAGAGTTCTGCCTTCGTCAGCAGCCGATCGTTTCGGTGAAAGACATGACCATATCTCAAGTTCGTGTGAAGTGCCTCGTGCTCGGTGATTTTACTGCAGGGAAGCCGGTTCCAGTTGATTATAACATGTGCATGAGTTGTGTTTCAGGTACTCCTCATTGCCACTTGTCCCAACCCTTTCCCTTCCATCCACTCCCCGTACCACCTCCGCACCCTCACCCGCCCATCCACCTTCAGGCCACCTCATTCCAAGCCAGCAAAGCCCTCCTTGCTTGCCGCATTCCAAGCCAGCAAAGCCCTCCTTGCTTGCCATATGAGGCTCAACAACAGCAATTGACGTACCCTTGCCACTGTCGTAATCAGCGATCACCGTGTAGCCAACCCATTTTCCCTCCCCTCCGCATACCATCTCCACACCCTCATCCATGCATCCATCTTCAGACCACCACATTCCACGCCAGCAAAACCCTCCTTGCTTGCCATAAGAGGCCCGGCAATAGCAGTTGCTGTACCCTTGCAACTGTCGTAATCAGCGATCACTGTGGAGCCAACCCTTTCCCTCCCCTACCCATACCGCCTCCACACGCTCACGCGCCCATCCATCTTCAGACGACCACATTCCGAGCTAGCAAAACCCTCCTCGCTTGCCATAAGAGGCCCGACAACAGCAATTGACGTACCCTTGCCACTGTTGTAATCAGCAATCAATGTATACAGCCTTGCTGCTGCTGCAACCAGCAACCGGCGTATAATCCTTCAACGCCAACTTGTGCGCCTTGATTTACATCGCAAATGGCCTCCAGACAAAATGAAGGCACATCGTAATCCTGAGGGCATCGATCTGGTACTACCAAATACAGTACAAGGGAAAGAATAACTGCCTTGCAATACATCCGCGTCTTGTGGCCCATCGTCTGCAACTAGCAAACACTAGAAGAAGGAAACAGCAGCCACTTCCATGGACAAAATATGGTCCTGACTCAAGTCAAAACCCCAGCCATGCACAGCCTTCAGGGTCAAAACCCCAGCAATGCACAGCCTTCAGGTCTTGGCCTGGGGCTGACACACAGGAGAGGGAAACCAAACCCGCCGGAAGCCATCTTCTGAAAACCTTCCGTCCAACCGTAATTAGACAGACGCGCAACGGGTGATAACTCATGCCCAATCTTTCCTGTTACGCCAGACGGGATTCCAAAGTCTTTCTGAGCGACCTAACTTGCAGCACATGTGCAAATTCGCATCGTTATTTCTGCCCGATGGGCTTCCGCAAGCAGTCTGTAAATCCGCCCCCTTGCCTATGTATTGTATGACCACCACCTAACCTCCAACTTCCCAGCAAACACTGTACAGACACAACAGTGCACATACTTAACCTCATCAAACAGCCGCTCTCGCAGCTTCTCTTGCCGCTGCACCTGCCGCATCTCTCCTGATATCGGCAGTCGTTTTACCGCTCGATCTGAAATACCCATATACCATCTGCAGAGGACAAGCAGCACAGCATTTCAGTAACTTGCTACAACACCTTTTTTTTTTTTTGTTTGACCCTTGCACCCTCTTCCCAAAACTGGTCAAACAGGACAAAACAACAACAACAACAACAACAACAACAACAACTGGTCAAACAGTTGTTGAGATAAGAAAACATATGGTTCCCTTTTTTTTTTTTTTCCCTTTTCTCTTCTTTTCCAGGACACCAAACACCTCAGGATCTCTACTGGACCAACCATTCCCCCCACTTGCACACCAGCYYTTTCTTTTTTTTTTCCCTTTTCTCTTCTTTTCCAGGACACCAAACACCTCAGGATCTCTACTGGACCAACCATTCCCCCCACTTGCACACCAGCAGCACTCCTAAAACGCACTAGGGAAAGTGGTTACGGAGTGACACCACTCTCTCTCTCAAGGGTGAGGCCTTGCTGGTGTGCTACGTTCTTGCTTCGAATTCATGGACCTGGCCATGTGTCCGCTTTTGCTACTCTTCCCCGAACATGACGCGTATGCATTCTAAACGAATACAACGCATAGGTTGCTTTCTCATTGAACACAACGCATGTGTGTTCTATTCGAATACAACACGTGCATTCTATTTGAGTCATTGATTTTTTTTTTCAAAAACTATAATACAATGCACATGCGCGTTCTATTCAAATTTCAAACAGTCCTATTCGAATACAACACACTACGTTCTATTTGAGTCATCCTTTTGTGTTAAAAAACTCTAATACATGCATTCTAAACAAATACAACACATTGGTTGCTTCCTTTTCGAACACAACGCATGTGCGCTCTATTCAGTACTGCAAACCCGGTAGGACCGGAGGGCCCTCCCCCAGCCAGAACCGGACCAGTCCTGCCGGCCGGTCGACTGGGCCAGTTCCACCGCAGCTGGCCGTAGTGCATCTTTTTTTTTTTTTTTTTTTTTTTTTTTTTTTTAAGCCCAGGGTGTTGTAGAGGCCAAGGACTAGACCCACGGCGATCGCTGGCAGCGGCAGCCGGTGATTGTCCTGACAGGATAGGAACCCTTCCCTACTATCCCTACTACCCTACCTCAGTGTGACCAGCACTCAGGACCATCACCCTACCAGTATCGAGGGCAACTTGGACCAGACAGCAATGCTTGTGACAAGCACCCCCTAACACTATCACCCCCACTCCCCTTTTCAAAGTTTCTGGGTGGGAAGTGCCGTCCCTACCCTGCCACTGACACCCCCAGCCCCCTTTTCAAAGTGTTTGGGCGGAAGGTTAACGTTTCCAGAAACCAGGTACGTTGTTGTCAATGTCTGCTGAAGCCCGCGCTTGCTGAAACCCCACCACGAACACCCTCACCATAAACCCCCCAACCCCGGAAATACAACCCCCGCCCCCTCAACCCCCCAAACGAAACTTCTCTGTTCAAAGTTTTCTTTGCGGATTCGAGGAGATCTCGGCGAGAGCCCAGTCCAGCCATGTTTTCAAAAAAAAAAAAAGTAAATAAAAAATTGCCCACTTTTGGGCCCAACCGGAGTTCCGGTTGGATCACTGGGGGCCCAACCGGCCCGGTTGCATCCGGCCCCGTCCAACCGGCCGGTTGCCATCACAGCTGTGGTTCTATCCGAATACAACGCCTGTGCATTCTATTCGAGTCATTGATTTTTTTTCAAAAACTCGAATACAACACACGTCCTCCATTCAGACAGACCCTTCTACTCGAATACAACACACATGCGTTCCATTCGAGCCTTGAGGTTTTTTCACAAACTCGAATACAATGCACGCACGTTCTACCTGAGTCGTCGTTTTTTTTTTTGTTGAAAATACGAATACGATGCATATGCAGGCTATTCGAGTCGTTGATTTTTTTTTTCATAAAACTCGAATACAACGCATATGCTTTATGTTCGGCGAAAGACGGAAAGTATGAGCCGCGCACCAGCGAGGCGTGGCCCTTGTCCATAACACGAAAGACCACAAAGGACGGGAAGCGGCGGTTTCCGGATCAGTTCATGCGCTTGCGAACCAGTTCATCGGCTAGTTCGAGCTGACTTGAAAAGTTTCCTGGACCAGTTCATCGACCTGTTCACGGACGGACACCTCCATTGACATGGAAGAGGACACAGATCACTTCTGTCATTTGTGTGCACATAAATGAAATATTACTGTGCTATGTGCTATTTATGTGCACATACTCTTGACCAAGTGAGGTCCACCCCAGCAAACATTGCACAGTGAAGGAAAGGAATGAGCGTTGCTCACAACAATTAATTAGCAGCTAAAAATAGATAGATGGTAACCAGAGGGGGTGTCCATGGGACGCTGGGCCCGGTTTTCTGCAGGTGACGTTCCCCACTAATATTAGGAGCAACAAGCTACAGGGTTGCTGCTGGAGGGGATGCTCGTAGCACACCCTCTCACAGACAGACGTCGGAAAGGGGGCCGGGAGGGGAGAGGGAGAGGGCGGGTGGGGGGTGTTAAAAAATGGGAAAAAAAAAACGGAAAAAAAAAAAAACAGAAAAAAAAGCATGCGAGCTGGAGACCAAATCACCACCCTGAGGTTTGTTGGTTTAGGCTCGAACGTAAAGCCAAAGGGAAATAACGTCTAGCTTACGGGGGAGTGATGGGGAAGGGGGAAGAGGGGCTGCAATCGGCAAGCTTACCCGTAGGGTCCACAAGCTCATCACTGACTCTATCATCCACATCAGCGTGCCGATAAGGAATAATATCTGTCAAAATTTACCACCCAAATGCCATAACTTTTCTATCAATAAAGCCCTCATATCAATAAAGCCCTCAGCACAGGTACAGCATCTTTATGGGTCAGGGAATGAATGCTCTTTTTAAAAGAAAAAAGAAATCAAGAGAGCAATTGCAACTGTCCGTGGGGAACGAGAAACTTCAACAAGAGATTGCAAAAGGAACGGCCCTGTCATTGTATGATCGTACAGACCCCAAAGTTGGTTGCATGAAGGTCAACCACCACCGGGCTAACCTACCAAGCAGAAAGCCACAGTTGCGATCCTAGAAATTACATTAAATTGTTGGCACATGGGACCCGTGACATGGCTAACGTCATCATATTTGGTTTGGAATCACTGATTACAATCACAAGGATGCTCAGTGGCTATAAACCCAGCAAACATAAAAAAAATAAGGAAGGAGTCCGAAGGACCAACATTGCGCATTAGAAAATGTTACCCGAGTGGTCCGCGACCACTTCACCGGCCAAGCCAAAATGGATTAAAAAACTCAAAAAGTTAAAAACAAACCCAAGAAAAAAAACATTTTTTGATTTCAAAATATTCACCTTTTATTTCTGCGAGGCTATGCCCGCTCAGCCCCCTCGGGGCCCTTTTTGCAGTATGTCGGCCGCCCTAACTGAAGGCAGGCGCGACAGGCCCTCAGGGCCTCGATTTTCAGGGTACCCCGCAACTGGTGAAATTCAGACAGCTGCGCTGCGCCAGTTGGTTGAAGGCGCCCAGGCCCAGGCCATATTTTGCAAATGTATCTGAATGGGGACCTGGGCCAGACTCGTGGAAAAGGCCTTGAGCAGGCCAAGGGCAGTTGGGCACATGTAACCATCAGGCCCCGGGCCTGCGTGTGAGGTCTGGGCCTGTGCCTACCGGGGCCTACCGGAATCTTCCTGGACTGGACGCAGGCAGGCCACTTCGATATAGGGAAGGGCCTGCCTCCTCATTCGGCATTCGGGTGCTGGCTGCATGCTGCGCGAGCGCTGCTGCGCTATTTGCTGGCTGGCTGGCGCTCACGCTTTCACTGGCGAGCAAGAAGTAGCGGGCAGCCATAGCCGAGCTGCTCCGCTGTGAGCTGGGTGTGACGCAGGGTGGTCCTTGGGTGCAAGTGGCATCTGTGTGGTGTGGATCGGGGTTGTGAGTGTTGCGAGAGACATACCTGGTGCTGGAAGCGTGCGGCATTGTCCGCTGCATGCTCGTACTTCGGGGAGCTGTTGTTGTCAACATCGGCATCGTAGTATTAGGCTAGATAGGATCTGCCACAAGTAGTCTGGGCGCCGAGCGCCAATAGGATATCAACTCTTGTTCTTCGTTGATGATGATGAGAGACTATTTCAGCATTGTCAATTACGAACTATTGATGTGTTCTGATTTGGTGAATCTCGTGATGCATGACTGCTGTTGGTTCGAGGTCAAGACTATCTGGACACATATGTATGATGCTGTTTGATTGCTGGAGTTCGCTAATGCTCATCTTCCTTGCAATTTGGTATCAGAGCTGTGGTACGATTGCGCTCATCTGGCGCTTGTCTTCTACCTTATGCGGTACATACATGCGGTCTGCTGGGAGAGTTTGGCCGTAAGTGGTGTGTAGTGAGGAAGGTGGAGACGAGTGTGAAGGCGACCCAGGTGGTGAGGGGCATCGCCTGGAAGGCTAWGGTGTRAATATTGGGTKTTCGCAGTGTGATGAGAACTAYCTGTTKGGTGAKTGAGGCTGAGGTGGAACGGCGAAATGCTGGTTGTGCCGATGCTGTGACTGGTCATCGCAATCATCTTCAGGTCATCTGGTGAGATTATCTCTGTGGTTGGGGGCAGCATGCACGAGGTACGTTGCTCTTAACCTTATCTACCCTCTTCATCACTTCTTACCGCGAGGTTGTGAGTTCTGTCTTGAGAGTCCTCTCATTGTGAGGTGTCGAGTGCGCTCAACCTTGAGAGTCGTGATTGTTCACATGGAGCATCTTGGGGGGAGACGGGCGGAGCTTCTTGATGGGCCCTGGACGAAGCACTCGGGTCACGGTCACCATGCCAACCCGCTGGGACAAGTACACGCATGCTTCGCTGCAAGTCGTTGGTTCTGCTGCTTGCGCATGATAGGGGTTAACTCGAGTGTGGCAGCCTCTACAGACGCTTACCAGACCGTCTATAAACATTTCTGGCTGGGGACTCGGCTCTGATCTGGCTGTGATCGTCGTCCTGCTGCGACGTAAAATAATTCCTGATGTCACTTGGGGGCGGACGTTAAATTGCCTCTTGATCAGCCAGATCATCCGAGTGGAAGGCTCGTCGGCGTACGAGGGTAAATAAGAGTGCTGTGGCTGCCTTGCTCGACGATAACCCGGGGCACAGGGGTGGGACCGGATTGCACACCTTCAGACACGCTTGACTTCAGATGCTTAGGGACGTGACACCGTGACATTGAGAAGAACTGTGGGAGGGGTAGGTTAGAGGTGATAAGTTCGGGTTTCAATTCCATGCTATGAACAGACCCACGCAGTCAACATTATTTTTATTTTGATTAGTTAGATGGACAGCCATGTGACATCTGACAGACAGCATTAGTTTAGAATATTGTTTATTCCTGATGCTTCCTCTGTTTGAGAACTAATCTTACTAAAAAATATTATTGACGGTAGGAATCTGACTTACCTGTTGACCCCAAATGAGATCTGTTCCAAAGTAGCCACCATTAAATAGTTGGTCTGTGCACTATGCTGCGGTAGACATCCTAAATGATCTAGTGTAGGCAGTGCACAGTGTTGTAGCCTATGAGCGACAGTGAGAACACCGGATAGGACGACCGCAGGATCTTGCGATCAGCCAGAGGCCCGATAACTCACGTGTCCCTAGGACCGGGAGGTGATAGGGAACTGTTCCACCGGCAGAGGGAGAGGCAGCAGCAGAGGAGAGCTAGAGCAGCCGAGGCCAGCAGAACATTAGCTAGCGAGGCCGGTGCTACAGCAGCCATGGCTACCACAGCCATGGGCACATCTGCGCAGCAGACTTCCCCAGTCGGAAGTTCAGGTACCGCCGGGTCTACGGTCGCGCAGACCGTGAGTCAGTCCACTGGCTTAATGGCAAGCCCGCCTGCGGTGTTGACCCCAGAGGATGTCCCCATCCAGCAGGCAGCCCTGCAGGAGGCACAGCTACAGCAGGCTTTAGGATAGATAAAAAGGGAAAAAGAGATGATGATTAGAAGAAAAACCAGGATGCAACGGAGAGGGACAGACATAGAGGAGTTAGAGACGATGGACCTGACACATATGGATGATGATGTGAAGGTAGTTAGGAGGGCCCTGCTAGGCGTAATTGAGATGCAGGAGCATCAAACTACCATCCTTCAGGACATTCAACAAAGCCTAGCCGTGTTGGCAGGCCGCGCTCAGGCAGCACCATCACCGGCAGGGCCTGGTGCCTGGCCCGTGCCATATTTCTGTTCCACCGGTGACTGGGGTATCCCCATATGTAGCCCCGTCATCGGTTGCTATCGTTTCCCTGGGCATGCCTCTGTCAGGAGGGGTAACAGCAGGGAGTAGTTTACAGGTTCCTGTACAGACAGTGTTTACTCCAAGTCCGTCACAGGTTGCAGTCACCACGCAGCCTGCTGTCTCGCAGCCAGTGCAGCCTCAGGGCTCGCAGCCCCAGCAGCTAGCACAGCAGCCTGTTTCACCGGGTCCACAGCCTGGAATGATGCAGGGACCGGGACAGACACAGTGGGTTCCAAAGACGGCCATCGCCGCTCCCAAACCTTATACAGGGGACAAGAGAGGCGAGGACCTTGACACATGGTTGAGGGCAGTGCCGGTCTACGTCAGGTGCAAACTCACCTTGCCGCACGAAGAAGTGATTGTGGCTGCCTCCTACCTCGAGGGTAGTGCAGCAAGATGGTTGAGTGGTCTAGTACAACTTCAGGGATACGGTCATGACTTCCGCGCTTGGGCGGCCTCCAAGAAATTGGAGGACTTCCTGAAGATGGTGGAAGAGAGGTGGCATGATCCTCAGGAGGCTCAAAGGGCCACTGACGCCATCCTGACACTGCACACATGGCAGTTTAAGTCAGTAAGGGAAGCCACCAACGCTGTTGAGCGTTTGATCTGCGTCCCTGGGGTACGCTATGATCCTCAAGTCCTGTTGACTTCATAACTGAGATGTTTTTCACAGCCTCTCAGGAACCAGTTGGCAAAAGAGGCCAACATCAATATGCACAACTTTAGCAAGGTGGCCCTAGACCTGGAAGCAAAGATAGGGCATGGACAGGCACCCACTACGGAGGGGAGAAAAAAGACACTGCCTCCCAACTGGAAGGCGAAGGGTCGCTTAATGTTTGTCGACAACGATGGTTCAACCATCCAATTGGATGGCAACTTCCAAGAGGGAGTAGGTACATAGGCAGGTGGTGAAACTTCAGAGGGTGGAGTAGTCACCGCCGTAACCCAACAAAAAGGTAAGGGGACCGGTAGACGCCGAGGAGGCTCCCGGTCTAGGAATCAAGTTGACCCCAATGCTCCTCCATGGGAGAAAGCGGGTCTTTCGGAGGACGTCTGGAGAGATCGGTGGAATCGCCAAGCCTGCATTCGTTGTGGCCAATACGGCCATAGCCAGTTCAAATGTAGGAATAAGAAGGTCACCGATAAGATCCCGCCTACTATGGGGCAGGCGGTAGGATCCTCATCTCCCATAGGTAGCAATGTTGCCAGTTCGTCAGGCACTGCTTCGGGAAACACGTCAGGGCAGTAGGAATAGTAGTTGTTCCTACTAGGGACGAGGTGGTGGAGACACCCTCGCCATCTCGCATCATGGCCCAAACTACTGATTCCCTTGTCGTCCCGCAAACGCATTCAGACACATCGACCCTTTGCTCGATGAATGTGTTCGAGTCCTTAGAGGAGCTAGAGGAGGAGCGGTTTAGATTAGACCCGGTAGCTTCTTGGACGGCACTAGCTGAAGCCCCAAAGGGTGAGATGTTCGTCAGCGAG